AATTTCTAATACAAGTTTATTGAGATTCATTTAATTCAAACTCAATTAATGTAATATTTTTCTCTAAGATTTCATCTTTGAATTTTGCTATTTTTTGTCACTTTTGCATTCTTTTCTCCAATTATCCATTAAATATAAAATTTTACCTACAAAACACAATATAACATAAATTAAGTAGAATTTAATCCAAAAAAAATAAAATATCATGATTTAGGACAACGAATAAGTGTATAAACTGCACTTATCACACCTCAAACTTGAATTTTTGTTTGTCCTCAAACAAAATTAAAACATAACAAACACATAAATAAGCAATGCTAATTACCTAATTGATGGACAGTCAATCAAGTAAAGTAACAAGATTTAACTAGTTAACCTAGCCTTTTATATCGGGATTAAAATCATAATAACAAATCTATGCACAATTTCAAAATCATAATACAAAAATTAAAATCCAATTTTCCATTGTAAAATTGACGTGTGTGTGTGTGTGAAGAATTAAGCATAACATTATGCATTCATAAGTTGTTTCAATTCCCTACCCTCAATGGTCAAATATATTCTTTTATCACTCGTAAGATTCACACACCCCTAAACTTATTATTTTCACTCTTTTCCAGTATGTGAACTAAAGTTGTATTTTTTTTTTTTTACTATCCTCACCTCTCTAGTTTGTCAAAATTTCATTAATTGCAGTTCAACATTTCAATAAACAAGGATTCTCCATTAAATTTGATTGCTTCAATATCTAGGATTTAACAAGGCGAACAATATCTTATCAAAAATCGAATTTTCTTAAACAAGTTTTTAGGACTTAACTAAAGCATTTGGGGCGTCTCTTGTTTTATGCACCTGCTTTTTTCGATTTGTTTTTGAATAATTTTTTCCTTTATTTGAAGCATTATCTCCCTTAAACTTTTTAAATGACATATGTAACAAGTTTTCAGCCGATGACTCCCAAGTCAGATAATCATAGGGCACCAAATTTTAAAGACAATTGCAAGCTTAATTGCTCGAATCATAAAGGTTCCGAAGAGAAATTTTCTAATAAGATTTTTTTTTATAACTTAATTAGTGCAATGTCCCTTATTTAACTCTAATTCAAGTAAAACGACATATAACTTGAGATTTTCACCAAATTGCATCATATTGACCTTAGATAATCCACACAAGATTTTTAATTTCACACATGAAATCCATATTTATCTCAACATCTTCCTACAACATTGGAATCCCCTAAACTATTCTAAATTTGGTCCACGAATGTAAAATTTAGTGGTTTTTGGTTTAACATCCATGGTCCACTATTTCAGCATATTCAATTATGAAATCAACTCATTCATACACAATCCTTTTCTTTTTCCTTTCTTCTTCTCTCTGCGCGTTTCTTCTCTGTTTGTGTTTTGACTTTTCTTCTTCTCTCTTTTTCTCTCTCTCTCTCCTTTCTTTCTTTTTTCTTCTTTTCTTTTCTTTTCTTTTCTTTGTGCTTTTCTCTTCCGCCTGCCGCTCCGTTTTCTCCCCCTATCCCATTCTGTAATGCTTTAATTTGAGTTTTCAATTAAAATTTTCAATACAAGTCTATTGAGCCCCATTTAACTTGAACTCATTTAATGTAATATTTTCTCCAATGTTTCATATTTGAATTTTGCCATTTTTTGCCACTTTTGCATTCTTTTCTCAAATTCTTCATTAAACATAAAATTTTACCTACAAAACACAATATAACATAAATTAGATAGAATTTAATCCAAAAAATAATAAAATATCATGATTTAAAGCAACGAATAAGTGTATAAAAACTATACTTATCAAATTTGTTATGGACAGGAACACCACTGAACAAGTCATAGATATCAGGCAAAAGATCTAGAAAAGACTAGAACATGAACATAATCCTTGTTTCTTTCATTTTCCTCGTAGTACATCTTGCAGAAGGCCAAAACGA